ATTAAAATCTCTGCTTCTGGACCTCCTCTTTTGATCCTCTCTCTCACTTTTGCTGCCTTCTTCATGTCTCTTGCTGCCATTACTATTCTCACGCCTCTTTTTGCTAAAACTCTTGCTGTTTCTTCTCCAATTCCTGATGTTGCCCCTTTTTGCACCCACAAATAGAATCAAATTCTCATCATTCTTCTGGATTGTTTTGTCTTGTTTTAACACCCATCTATTATTATTTGGTAACATTACATGGTTTAATTGATCATGCTGAGTGGTTTCTCTCCTTATTTCCTTCCTTATATTTATATAATTAAGCTTCTCATACAAGTATGTGTATATATGTATAGGATGTACGGATTAAAGTTTGGAGGTGGATACAAGAAACGATTTGGTTAAATCCATTTAGTTTCGAACATCCTCATGACTCAAATTTAGAGAAATGAAGCCTCGAGCTGAAGACAACCAAGTCGACCATAATTCAATTGATCTAAAGGTAAGACTCCATTTTATAATGATTTTTATTTTTGAAAATTGGGCTTGTTTTCTCACGATTTCTTTTTTATTTTTGTCTCTCTTTAATAAATTAAATTCTAGCTCATTAAAATATATATATAACAAAACAAAGAAATTAGGGGTTGAGTAATATTTATAAGCTTAATTAAAAATAAAAATAAAAATAAAAAAAATAAAAAAAGCTAAAATATATGATTATCGAACAAGATTTTATAGATTTAATTTCTTCCTAATAAAATTTAGGAAAATAGAAACAAAAACCTAAATTCTTGCAACTTTGGTTCTTTTGTGCTTCTAACTGACCATGACCACAACTTTAAAGATAATTCGAGCATAGCTTAACCGTAATTGACTTATGTTTCCCATTTTTTTTTTTTTTTTGAAAAAAAGTCAACCTTTGAAGTTGGGACCGTTCAAAAGAACGATACATTAGTTTAGGATACAACTTGCAGAACAAAGTGAATATAGAACAAAACAGTAAGAAAAGACCACGATTAGTTTATTATCGTTCAAAAAAAAGCTTACCAGTGATAATGGCAGTCAAAGGAGAAGAACACTGCAAATGTTCAGTAACTTGCTCTGCACTTGACTTAGAGCCATACCCACTTGGGCCTGCCATTCCTACCAAATACCTTAGAGTCTCCTTCATCACCCTACCCTTCAACCTCTCGCTCTCTCTCTTCCACATAAAAACATCAAACCTTAGTATTTATACCACCAAAAAATGAAAGATAATAGAAAAACAAACCCCGAAAGTTTTATCTCCTACTCCCAAGACCATCCCATTTCCCTGCTCTCCCCTAAAATAGTTACCCTAACCAACTTTTGGCTTGGGTGTTCCCTTTTCAATCTCAAGACTTCAATTTTCCATCTTTAATATATAATAATTTCAAAGTTGAAACAAAGAGAGGGTTAGATTTCGAAGTTAAAGAGAAAAAAAAAGGAATCTTTGTGTTCATATTTATGACATAATGTGTCTCACTTATTCGAGAAACAAAAACATGGCCTTTTTCTCTGTCTTTTTCAATTAGTATTCGAATTTTCCACGTATTAGCTTTGTATTAAACACTTTCTTTTCTTGGTTCATAACTTTATTTTGGTACGTGTTAGTTTTTTTAGTACACGACTATATGGATTTAAACCTCGTAAAAAAAAAATACATATCAATTTCTTGATTCATACTATAATTAATGTTTTTTTCCCTTGAGTGTGTTTAGATATATACATAACTTGAGAAAAAAAAAAGAAGTGAAAATAGGTTTGCTTACACGTGTGATTTGCATGCAGAAACGGATCATAATGGGAACGGCCCAAAAATAAAAAATGCAATCTTAAGAGAAAATTAAAAAAATAAATATTGTTGGCGTAAAAAAGTATGGGTTATTTCTTAGCTATACAAGTATAATAAATGTGTCGTTTGGGACAGGAACTGCTTTACGCTGCATGCGGCCTTTGTCCCAAAGTTTCAATCTTTGCCCTTAAAAAAAGGACGGCTTTTATGTTGGAGCCTTGGTGGGTTAAAGTTGAGGCATTCAGTTTGACAACTTTTCATTTACTTCTACCATTTTTCTTCCTCTACCTCTTCTATTATTCTATATTCTCCGTCATATCATGAGCCTTAAGAATCTGATTGGGATCAAGTTTGTAAACCCTAAAATTCTTCCTCCACGAAGCTCACAAACAAGAGAAAAAGAAAAGAAGGTAGGCCATAAGTTGATTAGATTTACTTTTTTTTTTTCAGTGAGTTCGGTAGATAATGTTATAATGAAAAGAATATCAAATATTATATATAATCTCTCGTAAAAATGTGTCTCGTTTTTTTTCTTGAACACTTGTTTATTCTTGAATGCTCTATGTTTTTTTCAAATCGATACTAACTCTGGAGCAAACAGGTAATCTTGGACTTGACTTGTTGGGAAGAAAGGTGGAATGTAGCATGTAGAGCCCATGTAAAGCACAGTCGGATGGCAAACTCTAGCGGTATAATATCCGCACATCTTTAGAAGATGCTTCGGGATTATAAGTTTAAGGTGATTGTACATTATTTATTGATCTCTATTAGAATGGGACAATGTGGACCCATTGTGTTTTGAAATTTGATTCGTTTGGTTGAAACATTGTTTGTGTTGATTAACTTGACGTGTGAAGTTGGGCTTGTAATAGTGACATGGATATGTCATTACAAAACATATATTCATGACATGTCGAAAAAAGTGTGGAACAACAAGGATCGATGGGAAAGCTGGTATGGCATACTTTTTGCTTGGCATCCATATTTGTTTCTACATTATTATGTATGCGTTTTGTACAACCTTCTTATGTTTTTATACTTTTCTAAGTAATACTCATAGTTTCTCGAGATTAGGTTTAGCACGATATGGAATCATTTTCTCATCAAACGAGACGTAATTTAATTGTAATTAATATGTATTTCTTTTACCGTAATCAAAAGTTTAAATTACCATGCAGTTGTCTCTCAAACAAACCAAAAAGTGAAAGGCAATAAATAAAGGCATCCTTTGATTGGAATTAATTTAATTTAATTTAAATGAGAAAAAAAAAAGAACCAAAGGTACCAAATTGATGAGATAGTGTCTTTCACACGTGTCGGTCAACAGATAATGAAATTACATTTGGCAACCTAATTATAAGTGGTCCTACCGCGCTCTAGCTAATATATATTAATACATTATCACAAGCTTTATCATAATTAAAACTCCCCATTTTTTTTTTTTAGTTTAATAGTATTTGAGGTAAAAAGATATATATAACTTCAAGACCCTACATTTTTATGAGTGGGGATGGGTCAAGTTGGGTTGTTGTATTCAGTTTTTTTTTTTTAGTTAATTATCTAAAAAAAACTTTTAAACGACGACGATGGTTAGTGTAACTCACAGCAGACAGTTGCAACTGGATGTTGATGCAAGTATGCTTATCTTAGAAACTAAATGTAGAAGAGAAAAAACTTGCGATCCTGCGAGAAGGACACGATAACAGACAACAATACAACTCTTTATATATATTTTTTATTCGGTTTAGGTCAAATTGACCTTAAGCATACTAAATCTAGGTCCGACCCGATACCTAACTTAGTAACCTATCTAGTCCAATTCAATCCAACCGTTATAATTTCGATCAATTTTGGATTATTGAGTTGTACAGCCCCAATGTTTTCAACACCATCCCATCAATTAAATCAATCTTGTAATGTCAAATCCGTACTAAATCCAACCAAAAAGTGGAAGCATTTAAATATAATTTATTAATTTAACATAAATGAAATTAAATGCAAGAGCTAAATAATAATTACAAATTTGACAAAAAGGTATACACACCTTTAGCTCAATCAATTAAATAAATTAAATTAAATTAAATTTGGACCGGACACGGAGATGGCCAGGCCCAGGGTTGAACCGTTATATATTCAGATAGTTTAGAAGCCCGGCCCACTACTCCAAAGAGCTGACATTGTGGATGGGCTTAACGTATATATCCTTTTTTTTCTCCATAAATCTAAATATAAAATATATAGTAAATAATGATTTGTACAGACATATTCACTTATCTATATATATATATATATATATGTTATAATTTTTCATATATTATTCACGTAAATACAAGTATTTTTAAAAAATATTATTATTATATGGTTTTGTTAGAAGACAAGGACAGGTGGAGGGGGGTGGCATGTATGAATGCAGCGTGGCGGAGAGGTAGCTGAACACTTCGACACAAGACACCCGTGGAAACACCTGGATTTTACTTACATTTTAGCCCCAACAAATTGCATTTAATTATTAATTTAATGTCTCAACTTTACTGCATAATGTGTATACCCAAAAAAGAAAACACATAAAAAATATGTATAAACTAAGAGTAAATCGTTTTTAAAAATTTAAAAATTTAAAAATATTATTAAAACTTTTAAAATTTAAATATATTTTTACAAGAGTAAAGGTTTTGGTGGTTAAAAGCATACCATAAGAAGGGTGGAATGAATTAAGGGTTTTGTGTTTGGTTCTTTTGTAGGGTTTACGCATTCGGAGCAATCCCTTTAGCTTTTAAAAAAGACAGAACATGCTTAGAATGTGGCTTTGGTGGTCTTCTATGTTACACAAACCGACAAATCTAAACCTTAAACCCATTTCTTGACTTTATATGTTTAGGGTAATGCTTAATCTTTGTTGTTGCCCATATCTATGGGGACCTTTACCCAAAATAATATCCGGAAAAGCGAGAAATCTCTGGAAATTACATCGAACAACCTCCTATAATTGAGGCTCGACACTTTGTGCCACTTTTTACCATACCTTCAAAGCTCGAAACACTCTTTGTTCAATACTTGAGGATCATATTGACATGACTCTAATTAGTTAAGGGCATGACTCTGATATCAAGTTAGAAATGACGAACCTCCACAATAATATGATAAGTTTTACGATTTTACGACTAAAAAGGTCTTGTAAAGATGTATTTTATCCCCTTAATTAGCTAACATGTGACTCGCTCCCAATATGACACCGTACCATTCCATTGTCTATATAAACCCCCTCCACAAACCTTCCTTATGCACCAAACCCAACTCAGCAAAACTGATCTCTTCCTCCACCAAGCTTAACCATCTTTGTGTCATGGCTCCACCAAGCTTAACCAGTAACCCCATAGACGACGTGATCCCCTTGCTGGACGCGCCCTCATCCGATCTCTCAATCGCCTTGAAGGGCTCGGAATTTGTTGCCAATGGCCACCCATTTCTAACCCATGTTCCTTCAAATATCACAGCCACTCCTTCCCAGCTCATCTTCTCCCATAAGACCACAATTCCCAAATCCCTCCTCGGCGGCTGTTTTCTCGGCTTCGATGCGGCTGAGCCCAAAAGCTGCCATCTTGTTCCCATCGGCAACCTCCGAGGTATAAGATTTTCAAGTATCTTCAGATTCAAAGTCTGGTGGACCACCCACTGGGTCGGCAGTTGCGGCGGCGACATCCAGCACGAGACACAGATGATGATTCTCGACACAAATGATCAGGGCCGTCCATTTGTCCTCTTCCTTCCCATCTTAGAAGGAGCTTTCAGATGTTCCCTACGTCCTGGTGGTGACGACAATGTCGCGATGTGGGTTGAAAGTGGGTCCACCACCGTCCAAGCGTCGCAGTTTAGAAGCTGCTTATACATGCAAGTCGGCAAAGATCCGTACACTTTGGTCAACGAGGGTATGAACGTGGTCAAACTCCATTTGGGTACCTTCAAACTTCTAGATGACAAGACCCCACCTCGCATCGTGGATAAATTCGGGTGGTGTACGTGGGATGCATTCTATCTTAAGGTGAATCCTCACGGGGTTTGGACAGGTGTCAAATGCCTAGTGGACGGTGGTTGCCCTCCGGGGATGATTCTGATTGATGACGGGTGGCAATCTATTGCTCATGATGCGGATTCCATCGCTGATCCTCATCAGGAAGCCATGGATCTAACGGTTGCAGGGGAACAGATGCCTTGCAGGCTAATCAAATATGAAGAGAATTATAAGTTCAGGGACTATGGAAGCCGTGGGAAGGGGTCTGGTGTAGGGCTGGGTGCCTTTGTGAGGGACCTGAAGGAGGAGTTTAGGACAATCGAGCATGTGTATGTATGGCATGCTCTTTGTGGGTATTGGGGTGGGATTAGACCCAATGTCCCCGGAATGCCCCTGTCGAGGGTCATCAGTCCTAATCCGTCAAAGGGCTTAGAGATGACGATGGAGGATTTGGCTGTGGACAAGATCGTCAATAATGGCGTTGGATTCGTCCCGCCGGAGCTGGCCCACGAAATGTACGATGGACTCCATTCCCACCTCCAGTCGGCGGGTATCGACGGCGTCAAGGTTGATGTTATTCACGTAAGTTCCCTTCTTATGCTGGTCTGTTTGGTTTCTTAATATTGAAGTTCAAGCTTAAAATTTGTAGTTCAATCCAAAATTAATCACGAACTTGGGGGAGCTCGTTAGGAATAACAACTCTCGTAGTTTTGTTTTGGGCTTTCTCAAAAGGTCTCATGCCAATGGAGACTCCCTCCCAACAATCCTCAACCATCCTTCCCAACAATCCTCCCCTCAAACAAAGTACGTCTTCCCCTAGGCCTATGGAGCCCTTCCCTCGAACATCCTCTCCTTAATAGCGGCTCGACGCATTCTCTAGAGTCCTCGAACAAAGTACACCTTTTGTTCGACATTTGAGTCACTCTTGACTATACTTTCAAGGCTTACAACATTTTTGTTCGACGTTTAAGAATTCTATTAACATGGCTAAGTTGGCTCTCATACCATGTTAGGAAGAGCGACTCTCTACAATGGTATGATATTGTCCACTTTGAGCATAAGCTCTCGTGGCTTTACTTTGTGCTTACCCAAAAGGCCTCATGTCAATAGAGATGTATGTATTCCTTGCTTATAAACCCATGGTCATCGAATTCCCTTCCAACCATCCTCAACATAGCTCACTGCTTTGGGCATAGATTGTTTATGGGATATGATTTGTTTGAAGAAGGGGACGAACAGGATACAGCCTGGTCTTGAAATTGCAGGGTATTGATTCGTGTAACTCGACAAAAAATATCGAAAACCATATCAGCTATAGCTCGTGCGCTCCAATAGGCTCGCTCATTTGGCCTTCCTCAGTTGGTAAGTATTAGGAGACCATGATGTATCAGCTGGATTCTTGCGAGCATCAACGAATTGGGAACTTACTGACTTCATCTTTCCATGAGAGATCTCAATAAACAGTCCTAGAAATTTCCTGTATTTACTCCAGTTTCTCCTCACCCTCATAGGAAAATACAGCGTTGAATCAAAATCTCCCCCTGTTTGATGAGTCTTCTGTGATCAATCATGCAGTTGCTTGAAATGCTATCCGAGGAATTTGGAGGCCGAATCGAGCTAGCCAAAGCTTATTACAAGGCACTCACTGCGTCTATCAATAAACATTTACAAGGAAATGGGGTTATTGCAAGCATGGAGCAATGCAATGACTTCATGTACCTTGGAACCGAGGCCATAGCGCTTGGACGTGTTGGTATGGCCGTGTGAAACCCCAACTATCCATCTTTCCTTCACCTAAATTTTACAAATCAGTATCAGCCTTTGAATGTTTATACCATTCCTCTGTTTACAGGAGATGATTTCTGGACGGTGGATGCCTCTGGAGATCCATATTGGCTACAAGGGTGTCACATGGTGCACTGTGCCTACAATAGCCTGTGGATGGGCAATATAATTCACCCAGATTGGGACATGTTCCAATCCACCCACCCTTGTGCAGAATTCCACGCGGCTTCAAGGGCCATCTCCGGTGGACCAATCTATGTAAGTGACTCGGTCGGTAAACATAACTTCAAGTTACTCAAAAGGTTAGTTTTGCCTGATGGGTCAATACTGCGTTGCCAACACTATGCCCTTCCTTCCAGAGACTGTCTGTTTGAAGACCCTCTTCAGGATGGCAAAACCATGCTCAAAATTTGGAACCTCAATCAAGTAAGACAAAAAAAAAAACCACACCCTTGATCCTCTTTTTTCAATTCATAGGCCTATATCTCATTTTAATGCTCAAATTTCGGTGCGGCATTTAATCGAACACCTTGTGGTCAACTTCACACAGTTCACAGGCGCATTGGGTCTGTTTAATTGCCAAGGAGGAGGGTGGTGTCCGAAGACAAGGCAAAACAGAAGGACCTCCGAGTACGCACGCACACTAACCTGCGTGGCTGGTCCGAAAGATATCGAGTGGAACAATGGGAAAAACCCCATTTCTCTGAAGGGAGTACACTTGTTTGCGATATACATGATCCAGGAGAAGAAACTAAGGCTATTGAAGACATCGGAGAATTTAGAATTTACCATCGCTCCATTAAGCTACGAATTGCTTGTAGTTTCCCCTGTGACAGTTTTATCGAAACCATACGTGGAATTTGCTCCAATCGGGCTGGTGAACATGCTGAATTGTGGGGGCGCGATACAATCCCTAGAAATCGAAGAAAATGAAGGTTTGGTAAGAGTCGGAGCCAGGGGGTACGGGGAGATGAGAGTGTTCGCTTCGAAGGAGCCAAGAAGCTGCAAAATTGACGGAGAAGATGTAGAGTTTGAATATGATGATAAAATGGTGAAGATTCAGGTCACATGGCCGATCTCTTCAAGATTGTCCATAATTGAGTATCAATTTTGAGCTTCGCAGAACTCTGATCTTCGAAAACTTCTTGTGGATCAATCCACTCTTCCTATCACTCTAATCGATACGTAATGTACTTATGTCTCGATTATAAATTGGGAGGAAAAAAAAAAAACGTTATTATTTTTTTTTTTTTAAATATGAAATTTAATTTTGTCTCTATCATTTTCAATATTTGGTCCTAATTTTCTATTAAAAAAAAAATAGGTATAAAAGATAGTTTTATACATAATCATGAGTTGAATATCACTGAAGTCAGTTAGGTAACACAATTAGATATGATATCTATATCTATCGTGGATGTTGGGGCCTAAAATTGTCTTTTCTCCTCTTTCACTAGTGTGCTCGAGATAGGTTAAGGAGGTATGGAACCCTTTTTTCCTCTTTCCCTAGTGGGGCTCGAGATGGGGTAAAGGAGGAGGTATGAAACTCCTTTCTCCTCTTTCACCAGTGGGCTCGAGATATATAAAGAACATACAGAACCCTTCCATCGTTCAACAAGCACAACTGGATATCCGCATCTATAGTGGATGTAGGAGCCTTAAATTGTCTTTCCTCCTCCTCCATCAGTGGGCTCGAGATATGTAGAGGAAGTACGAAACCCTCCGATCGCACCGTACCTTATATATTTTAGATTTTAAACTCCATAGATTTATTATAAAAATAAAAAATGAAATCAAAATTTCCATAGATATATTTTTTCTTTTATTGACAATATTCAATATTTTGCAAATGAAAAACATTAATTTAATGAAGAAAAAAAAATGTAGGTTATTATTTAAATAAAGAAATGTTTGACTGAAGCTTGAAACAAACATCCTTAATTTTCTGAAATAAAGTAAACAGGAAGAAGTAAAAATCCCAGAATAGAAAAAGTCAGTTAAATCTGAGGACCACAATTAGCGGTTGACTGAACGGCGCTCCCCTATTATATAACCCACTCCCATCTTCGTAGCCTTTGCCGGACAATGATTCGAGGGATTTTTATGTTCTTCGTCTGAAAGGAACATAAACTATCCCCGGTCAGGCCATTGGGCAGATCCTTCCGCGCTTTCTCTCTCTCTCTCTCTCTCTCTCTCTCTCTAACCTTATCCATTTCCCACTTCATTCTTCTTTGTTGAATAATCATTCAATACAATGTTCAATTTCTGTACTTGTGTGAATTTCAAGCAGGAGCCCAGGTTGGATCATGCTCTGTTACTTGTTTTAATCCTCTGTTTTCCTCTGTTTTTTCTCTGTTTCGGGTTTAATTCGGTTGTTTTCATTTCAGCGACGATGAATGGCAGATGGATTCGTCGACTAAGAAAAGAGACTTGAAGAAGGGCTCAAATGAGACCTGTAATCATGTTCCTTTGGCTTTGGTTTCGCCATCGGAGCGTCGAGATTACGGGGAGGATCGAGTCATCAATCTAGATGTGTAAGGACCCGACATTCGTATTGTATTTTACATGATCTTTTATCATTGAATTTGTGATTTGGTTTAAATGATTTGCAGTGGAGACCCAATTATGTATGAGACTTTTTGGAAGAAAATGGGGAAGAAAGCCACGGTGGTGATACCTGGGTGGCGATCCATGAGTTACTATTCCAAGGGCCAGAGTCTTTGCTGGTTTCTCGAACCCGATTTGTGCGAGCAAATTCTCCGATTACACCGCGTCGTTGGCAATGCCATAACCGAAGGCCGCTATATCGTCGTTGGGACCGGCTCCTCCCAGCTCATATTGGCGTCGCTATACGCCCTTTCTTCGCCTGATTCTCCCGAGCCCACCAACGTCGTCTCCGCTGCCCCCTACTATTCTGTAAGTTGGAATTCTATCGAATCGGGTGAATTCAATAATAGACGGTCTAATAATAATTCAAATTCTTGGTTGCAGTCTTATCCATCCATGTGTGACTATTTAAAAACGAGTCTTTTCAAATGGGGTGGAAATGCAAGCAAATATGAAAGCGATGGGGCTTATATAGAAATTGTCACTTCACCATGCAACCCGGACGGTTTTCTACGCGAACCGGTAGTGAACCGGAGTGGAGGCAAAGTACTACACGACCTTGCGTACTATTGGCCTCATTACACGCCCATTACGGCGCCTGCTGACAATGATATCTCATTGTTCACTGCCTCTAAGTGCACCGGTCACGCCGGTTCTCGAATCGGGTTAGTTAGTCTCTAAACTTTTAAAATATCGAACCTTTCGTGTCGGAGCTTATTGGTTTGGTTTGGTTTGGTTAGGTGGGCTCTTGTTAAAGATGCTGAGGTGGCAATGAAAATGGTGAAGTTCATTGAGCTGAACACTATTGGAGTGTCCAAAGATTCCCAGCTCCGAACGGCGATGATGCTGAACGTAGTGTCAGATACTTGTGAACAAATTGGGAGTTCATTAGTTATTCGCAGCGAATCCTTTTATGGGTTCGGCCACCGCCTCATGACGGAGAGGTGGTGCCGCCTTAGACAGGCCGTTAAGAACGCCGGAATGTTCACTCTCCCCGACTTCCCTTCTGCTTACTGCACCTTTCTCAACCAACGAACCCAAACCCGGCCTGGTAATTTAAATATTTAATTTAAAATATTTAATGATGTTTTGACGGCGGCGGCGGCTAATTAATTTGTTCATGGCTAGCTTTCGCGTGGCTCAAGTGTGAGAACAAAGACGAGGACTGCGCCGCTTTACTTCGGCGCCATAAAATTATAGGTCGGAGTGGAGTCAGCTTCGGGTGCAGTGCACAGTTCGCACGTGTGAGCATGATGGATCGGGACGACAACTTCGAACTCTTCATCCAACGAATATCCAAGATCGCTTCCGAAATCTGAGACGACATGTCGGTCGAATCCCATAAGTTTCCAATTAGCTAGAACAATAATGGAGGACGAGAATGACAGAGCCGAGCTGGAGGCATGGGAGTTGAAGCCCAATTTTCTAAATTATTTTATTTCTTTGATTTAAATTTTTGCGTATGTTTTTGTTTTTTCCATTTTCAATTTTGTATCTCCTAATATAAATTAAATTAAATAAAAATTAAATTAGTATTTATTTATTTATTTATTTTTATAGATTTCATAAATAATACTTTTATTTCTGGACGATAAAAAACGTAGACACTCTGTGCTTGAAGTACTCGGAATTCCAAAATTATTAAATTATTTACATATATAAGTAGGACTCGGCCCATTAGTGCTTCACTGGGCTCCTTCGTTATGTCTTTCCTCCTCCTCGGGCCTTACCTCCTTGGGCCTTACCTTTTCCTTGGGCCTTCCCACTTTCTTGGGCCTTCCCCGGTTCCTGGGCCGCTTCCTCTTTTGCTGTACCTTGTTGTTGGGCCGGGCTGTCATCTTCAGTCCTCCCTTTTTCCTGGGCCGGGTCGACTTCTTTAGTAGTACTCCCTTTTTCCTGGGCCGGGCCGACTTCTTTAGTAGTACTCCCTTTTTCCTGGGCTGGGCCGACTTCTTCAGAACTCCCTTTTGTCTGGGCTGGGCCGACTTCTTCAGAACTCCCTTCTTCTTGGGCTGGGCCGTCCTCATCAGTCTTCACCCAGTCTTGGGCCTTGGTTTGGATAGCCTGGCTGGCTTCCTCAGCCGTTTGGGCCGCTTGGGCTGCCGCTTCACGGACCCATTGCTTTGCTTGGTCGAGCTGGAAAGGAACTCGGGATTTGCGTAAATAGTTGGCCATCCATGAGACGGAGGATAAGGCGGTTACCCCAAAAGCCCCGGAGGTGAGAAAGCCGGCGACGGCGACGGCGATGACGAAGGCGGCGGGGAGAAGAATGGGGCTGAAAATGAGGAAAAGAGGAGATGTAATAGCTAAACCGATGACGGTTCCGATGAAGGAAATTCCGGCGAGGAAAAGGAGGAAGGCGCCGATGGGCAAGAGAGTTAGAAGTGCCAACAGCTTGGAGGTGGAAAGGGTGGTTTGGGGAAGGATGGTTTTGAAGGGATCGGTGGTGGGTCGTTCATAATTAGGGTGGTGGCTCTGCGGTGGTTGCTGTTGAAACTCCGCCATGGGAAGTGGAGGAAGAAGGAATGGGAAATGGAATTTGAAAATTGGGAGAGAAAAAGAGGTGGTTTTAAGGGAAGGAAGGAAGAAGAGGACACGTGGAGGAAGAAGGACACTTGTTCGACATTTAAGGATTCGAGGTTTGCATGGGAAACATGTCGATGAGGATGGAGCTCAGTTGTCATTTTCCATCCAATTTTTTCTGATTAATTCAAATTTCTTCCTCGACCTCATCTCATCTCATCATTTGTCCTCCATACGGCTACTTTCTGGGTTTGGTGTTTCTCCTGTATTTGTTTGTCTTTACAATTTTATTTAAATTTGTTTGTCTTTACAATTTGGATAACTCGTGAACAGATATGTTTTAATTTTATTTAAGATATAATATTTAAGATATATTCCAATATAGGATCTCAATATAAGTTTTTAAGTTGAGTAGGTAGTTAGGTGGGTAGGTGAAGTGGTGGGTTTCATTTATAATATTTTATGTTTGTTGATCAAAAATTGGTCAGTGGATTTCACTATTATGTTTACTTAATTAATTTGTTTATATATTCAACAAATAAAGAGATCAATAAGGGCATTAAATTCTTCCATTTACATCTTTTGCAGAAGCATTGAACACAAGCCTCCCTCAACCAACTACAAACTTTAAAGCCTATTCAAATTAAAGATGGGGTTTTTTATTCTTAAAAAAGTGTTTATGTCTAAAATCTCACGACTCTTTGATGATGATACATAAAGGGTCAAGGTGGACAATAGCGGCGAGCTTGAATACAAATGGTACATAGAAGATGTTAGACGAACACGGCTCTCTACAATGGTTTGATATTGTCCACTTTGAGCATAAGCTCTCGTGGCTTTGCTTTAGGCTTCTCCAAAAAGGCTCATGCCAATGGAATTAGTATTCTTCACTTATAAACCCATGATCATTCACAAAAGATACCAAGTAATGTGCCAACCAGCACATTGAGCTCCCAAAAAGAGTGAATTGTGTTATCCCATGGAGAAGAGAAGGA